CAATCCATCAGTACACCATTTAGTGAGGCTGAAAAAGAGATGAATAACATGATGAGCTCTCTGATTACATAGAGAGTATCAGCAAGAGACCTGAGCGAGCTCTAGTAGCCACACCGGAGTACTCCAAAGCAGCTGCTGGCACTGACTGTAATCCAGTATTCGGCACGCATAACATGAAGACCTGTTCTCTCTTAGGACAACAGCTTGTTGTCCAAATTAAATTTAAATATCTGCGTCTCATCACCCCGACGCTTTATGGCTCCAGCGTAAATCCACTGTGGTCCTGCCGGAGTCCGCTTGAGTTGTTATTACAAAGTGACATGGCAGCATCAAGCTCCAAGTGAGACCAGGAATATATAGGTCTGCTCCAGCTTTCCTGAGCTAGGAAAGAAGGTGACTGGACTTCTTTAACTTAGATGAAGACATTTTACCTCTCATCCAAGAGGCTTCTTAAGTTCTAAAAACCAGCAGGTGAAGAGTCTCAGATATTTAAAGCCTGTTAGTCTTTTTGTTTTTTATTAACATGTTTGATATGAAGAAAAAGACAAAAAACAACAACAACAACCCACAAATAGACAACAATACAGCAAGGGCAAAAACACAAAAGACAAGACAAAAGATTACACTTGAACAACAAAAACACTACTTCAACACTGGTAATAAACAGAAATACAACGCTTAGGTGGTGGACTAAGTTATTCAAGTTGTTTACAATCAATCAAAAATAAATGTGTTTTATCTAAAAAAGTTTGCCACACATCAAAGATCTTATTAAGTTTATCCTCTAATATATAGCTGATCCTCTCCATGTGCAGCAGAGCAGTCAGTTCTCTTAGCCGCATTTTAATTGAGGTACAATGTCAGACTTCCAGAGTTATTATAGAAGTTTCGTAGCAATTACCATTCTGAACAAAACTGTAGTTTGTGCAGCAGAGCTATAGAAGAGAAGAGGAAGATCCAAACAACGCAGTTACTGGGCCCGGCTCTGATGTGCAGTTGTACATATCAGAGAACAATTTAATACACCAAAGAAACACATGACAAGCAACAGGTGTGGGTAAAGGGTGCAGCATCGGAAGTGAACAAGCATCGAAGGCGTTTGGAAAGGGAGGGGGTGAGTGTGTGCATATCAGTGTATGTGTGTGTGTGTCCGTAGTTCAGCTGAGACTGTGTCCTTCGCCCTGCCAGGCTAAGTAAACAGTCTTCCAGCCAACCCTGGTGGCCTTGCATAGAATGGGAAGGAACAGACTAAACACAGTCGTTATCAGGGTGTTGTTGTTCAGCTCCAGCCTTGAGCCCAGCTGGCGCCAAAGGGGTATCCGCATAAGTGATGGTGTTTTTACTTTAGTGCGAACAGCTCATATGAATTTCAAAGCAGTTCTACAGTCCAACACTGGTCTCTCAATCTCCCGTTGGAGAGCCGCGAGCTTCGCCATACTTGCGTTCTGTGATGTTGTCATTTCTTGTGCTCAAGGAGCCGATTTCTGAGAACTCACGGCAGTGTGCCTCCCCGAGATGTCATCCAATTTGCGCCCAGAGATGTTATTCCGAGCTAGCCCTTCCGAGATGTATCCAGTCTGCAGTCAGAGATCTTATTCTGAGTATTCACAGCAGCCGTAGCCTCTCCAAGATCTTATCCGTGCTGACTCAATGAGCCCATTTTGAGAAACTCACGCCTCTCCCATCATTCCAATCCCAGCGGGCAGCCTTGTGGGGGTTTGAACAGCCGGTTCCGCTTCTTAATTCTTCGATAAGTCAGGGCCAAGCCAGCTCCGATCAGCAAGAACCCTGTACCATGGTTCCGAATAGGTAGATATCTTCAGCTCAGCTCACCCAAGCCCAAACTTCTCGTTGAGAAAGGGGTGTCAATTGCATTTAGGGACCAGTTGATCAAATCCATAATTCCTCTTTTAGGTTTTAGAGAACAGACTGTGAGAGAGTGTTCCAGAGAAAAGTGCGACCGCCTTCATCAAGAGCAAGAGCAGTGCAAATTTGCAGCCCAATAATAAAATAATAATAAATATAAAATAAAAATATAAATAAAATAAAAAAAATAATAAAACTGAAAATGTGGCAGACCAAATCCACCCTCATGTTTAGACTTACATAGATGAGCTTTTGATATTCTATGAGTTTTCAAGCCCCAGACAAATGATAATACCACTGAGATGATCAATTTGAAAAACTGTTTATTCAAAAAGACTTAGGGAGAGAAACCATTTTAATTGCATTGATGCGTCCCACCAAGGAACTAATAACTAATTAGAAGCATAATAACACCCAGGTATTTCACACTGTCTATAATTTTAAAAGTTAAAGTTTTCAAAAGGTCAACATCCAGGTTTGCAGTTAAAGTCACAAATTCACTCTTCTGCCAGTTAATTGTATAACCTGAGATTTCCCCAAATGACCTCACCAGGTCTAAAAGTACAGGAACAGATCGCTCAGGATTCGACAGGAACAAAATAACATCATCACCGACCTAAGACCCCGTTAGTCTTTAACAGGGTCTTAGGTCAGTGCATGTCAAAGTAAAATTCACAGGGATGGGATAACCCAAGGTTTCCCAGGATAAACTGGCCCTAAGCATCACTGCCTTCTTCTGATAGTGCATCCTGGAGTGCTATTATCCTTCTGGGAATATTTTATTTTCATAAATAAAGGCAAACAGATCTGCCTCTACCTGCATCTATGAGTTGGAGGTTCTTCCATTTGGTATCACCAATAGCAAGGCCCAAAGCAAAGTGTTGGATTCAGTGGATGGACTCTGCCACTCAGACACTTTTGGATACAAATACTGCCCACATGATCCCCTTGTACCTACATACACTAAATAATATCTATACAGGTCTTTCACATCTCTGGGCTTCATCCTTCCCTTTATCCCTGAGGCCAAGATCTCAGTGGAAGACATGTGGAGGACACCCAGAACATGGGATTGTCCAGTGCTGTCAGAAGCAGAGCTGCAGATGTGGACTTGAAGGCAATTAGAACACCTAAAGCAGATATCCCTCCCTGACTGCTATATCAGCTCAGTTGCTTTTATGTGTAGAGAAGACCAATGCGAGACAAGTAGATGCCTCATATCTAACTGCGTGATTAAGAGTGGCTCCAAAGAATCAGAAATCCATGCCAAGCCAAAGTTTTGCAGCACTTACTTTCTCCCCTCTACTGAATATTGGGCAACAGAGATCCTATAACAAGCCCAGTGGGCCTCTGAGGAAACATAGTGGAAATCGTAGGTGTATGATGATTCAGGGCAGAAGGACACTGCAACTCGGTAACATTGTTATGATGGTAGACTCTGTCTAGCCATGGGCACTTTGGCCAGTGAGCCATGTCACCACCTTGCACCTTGGTGGCAGGCAAAATTTTTATCAGGACTGATAATTCACCCCAAAACCTCAAATACACACACACATACACATTATGTAATTGTTCTCATGTCTCAAGTATTTAGTTGTTTACTTTTAGTAAATAACTAAATACAAACTAATTTTAATGCAACATTATTTTCACTGTTGTTTCATCATAAGACAAACATAACAGATCATAAAACTTTCATTTTAACCCTCACAGCTCGTCTGACTGTGAGTCCCAGCAGCTCTCAGTTCTTTAAAGGAGACTTTGTGTCTCTGAGCTGTGAGGAGGACGACAGCTCTGCTGGATGGACTCTGAGGAGAAACACAAGCAAACAACAGAGGACTCAGTGTGGAGATGGGTGGGGAGAAGCAGCTGGTTCTTCATGTAACATCGATGTTTTCCAAGTGGACAGTGGAGTTTACTGGTGTGAGTCCAGAGAGGGTCCCATCAGTAACATGGTTAACCTGACAGTCACTGGTAAGCTGAGTGTGTGGAGTTAGTGTTGATGAAGCTGTGTGTAAATGGATGAAATGCTGTAGTTTGTCTCTGTGTTGAGGTGGATCAGTGATCCTGCAGAGTCCTGTCCTCCCTGTGATGGAGGGAGATGACGTCACTCTGCTCTGTAAAACAAAGACCACTCCCTCCAACCTCCCAGCTGCTTTCTATAAAGATGGCTCCCTCATCAGGAAGCAGCCTACAGGTCACATGACCATCCAGCATGTTTCCAGGTCTGATGAAGGCCTCTACAAGTGTGACATCAGCGGTCATGGAGAGTCTCCATCCAGCTGGATCACTGTCACAGGTGACACACTCACCTGTCTGTGTTTCTGCAGCTTTCAACATTCACAATGTGACGACAACTTAATGACTGTGTTTGCTTTATTTTAGGGGAACACACCACCACACCTCCACCTACATCCACACCTCCACCTACATCCACACCTCCTCTTGGTTCCACCTCCATCACTCTTCCTCCATCACTCTCTCCTGCTGTTCTCTCTGTGTTGTCATGTGTTGGATCAGCCTGTGTTGCGGTTCTACTGGTGTTACTGGTTCTGCTGGTAAGACGATGTGTTCACAGGAAACCTGCAGGTGAGTCTCAGACTAATAGAATAAAGTTCACATTCATTATGATTACACAGAGACAGCACAGCAATGTACTGTAGGTACTTCCTGATCTTACATCCATGGTTTTCTTCTGCTGAATAATGTACACAGTCATTATTTCTGGACATTGTAAAATGTAGAAATGATTTTTCTAAATAATTTCCTCACATTTTTAACAATTAAATTCTGTACAGTACATTAAATACAGTAAATTGTTCTTATTTTTTAAATAATTTCAGAAGGACAAGAAAACACTTTAGAAAATGAAGTCATTGATGACATCATATACAGTGAGATCAAAACATCACACTGTCCGCAGCAGCCAATCAGACAAAGCAGAGGTAATATTGGTCTCGTCTTCTTTTTGTTTGTTTTTGTAGTAGCTTCCGGGGTGGGGACAAGATTACTTTGGTTTTTGAAGTATATACAAATTGAAATATTCCGTAATTTCAGGAGACTGTGAAGACATGAGATAATGAATAAAGAAACTATTTTTGCCATTTCTTTGTCACAAGTGGGTACCTCCACCTGTTTTCAAAGTGTTATAGGGGATACCATTTCCCAATCAAACCAATTGTCTTCCACTTACCCAGACACTGTGTTAACCACTCCACTAAGGAAACAAAGACATTTTGAGAAAGCTATTACTATGAAACAAATCTAAATAATGTTTTTAAATAGTTCTCAATCAACAGTTATTTTTGGAAACAAATGAGCAACATTATGACCATTTCAGCTTTTTGTAAAGTTATCAGCTAATGTTAGCTAGCTTGGTTTTAAATCCGCTTCCGTGAACTCTATGGGAGCATCACAGAGACACAAACATCCTAGATGCTAACTCACCAATACCGGAGCTCAGTGTTCTTGTACAATTTACCCCAAAGCAGCCATATTACTGTACAGACTTACATTAAAATGCCCCCAAAACCTCAAACAGCACAGCCACAGTCTCAGGGATCCAGTTTTGGGATAATGAGCTGAGGTGAAGGCTAACAGACAGCTAGCAGCTACAGGCAGCTTTCCCTGCCAGTCAAAAGGCCACGCCCCTAATAATGCAAACGTTAAGCCTTAATGTAATTATAGCAGGCAAACCTTGAAATCTTTCTGGGATTTCCTTATCTGGGTGACTCAGGAGGTAGTCCACACACTACAACACGACAACCACCAAAGGGAGATCATTTTGACTCCATCCTACAACAGTTGCAGCACTGCTACTTTTCTACTCTAGAACAGTAGAAAACCATTTCATAAGTAGAAGTAAGCCTACACATTTTAACATCACATTTGGAGCCTCAAGTGAACATTTAACATTTGTGAACATTTGACATTTATTCAATTCAGTTCTGTTGCATCTTCAAAAATTAAAAATGAAATAACTGAGACTTACAATGGAGTATCGTTGCAAATGGTTTACTGAACCTTCTTTTCAGCGCATGTACAGAACATCAGTATCCATTTTCTACTGCCTCCTACAGGACACACTCTTCTTCCACTTCCTACAACATTAATGTAACACAGAACCAATACTGCCTCTCCTGGCATTACCATTGTAACGACACACTCATTCTGTTTCTTTCAGATGAATAACAGGAACTTAGGATGTAGGTATCTATGAATAATAACTATTATGCATACTCATATATTTATATAACCAACTAATTTCTTGATGCGATACCACAAGTTCAAAGCCTTTATTGTCATTGCATTTGGAAATGCAACAGAATGTGACATAACTGAACGATTAAACTTGTTTTTAAACCTTGTTTAGGAACAAAGTCGCAAACAATTATAATTGTGTGTCCACAAGAGAATTCGTACATGCACCATTTATTGGCATACATCCATTTTCTCCTGCTTCTCTTGGTCCAGACTGCAAAGATAACAAGACCTCTCTCTCTGGAGCCACCTCCTTTAACTCTTGTAAAGGAATTCCAAGCCAAGCCAACAGAAAGACAAAATCTCTCACAGAGAAATTATCTCTCCACCATATTTTGAGTTTATTCCAAGGTCTCAAAGCCTCCAAGGGAACAGCCAACTTAGCAATGAAGATACAGAACATGGTCCAGTCAAACTCGGTGTCCCCAGCTTCTTTGAACAGAAACATCTAGGTTTGATTTCTCTAAAAGGAGGACAGATCAATTTATTTAACTGGAATAACTAAGTAATAATAAGTTACCTCAAGGGCCAGTGTTTACCCACTGGAAACATGTTGCTTAAATATGATGATATTAAGAAGGTCCGTGGTTGGGCAGCTCATGGGATTCATCAGTGTACAAATTAAAACCTCCAATTAGAATCACTTCACCCATTTTAATAATACAAGTCACAAAGTTAGGAAACCCAGTTAAAAGTGACGCTGTTGAGGTGGATGATCAATAAGCTCAAACACAATAAAACAGCTTTAAGAGGAAGAGTGGGAAAAAAACCTGTGGAAAATATATAGTTCAGGTAGCAGAAAGAAGATCTGTGTTCCAGCCTCAAATAGTGCTCCAGGTGATGACAGCTGATTGTTGTCAGGTGTGTGGGCCAAGGGCGGGAGCCCACAGTGAGCTCCGCCCAGGCAGAGAGGGAGGGAGAGAGAGAGAGAGAGAGAACCAATAGCCTTGTGGGGCCGGCCGGGCAGGCACGGAGACCATGGCTGTATCCCAATTCAGGGTCTGCAGCCTTAAAGTACGCAGCCTCAACGATCCTCAAGGGCCGCGTACTCAAAGACCGCTAAGGCCGGAAGTCCGAGCCTTGTGAAATGGGACGGTCTAGCCT